AGAATATTTTGTTATTGTTTTGTAAATTATATAAATGTGATTTAATTGTATTCTCATTTCTATTTTTCTAGGCGGTAAGTTAAATTCAAGACATTTTTGTTATTTGTTTGTAAAATAATATAAATGAGATTTAATTGTATTTTTATCTTCTAACGTTATAGGTTGTAAGTTAAATTCAGGAATTTTTGTCATTGTTTCGTAAAATAATAAAAAATGAGATTTCATACTCACTATTGTTGCAGATTGTAAGTTAAAGCTCGAAAATTTTCGTTATTTGTTTTGTAAATCGTATAAAATGAGATCTAATTGTATTTTCTATTGTCTAATATTGTAGTTTGTAAGTTAAATCAGGACATTTTCTTTATTTGTTTCTGAAATAATGTAAAATAAGATTGATCGTATTGATTGTCGAATTTTATAGGGAGTAAGTTAAATTTAGGCCATTTCTGCTATTTTTATGTAAAATTTAATTGTATTCTTATTTTTTACTGTTTTAGATGGTAAGTCATATCCAGGACATTTTTGTTATTTGTTTTGTATAATCATATTGAATGAAATTTAATTATATTCTTATTTTTGATTGTTGTAGAGGGTAAATTAAATTCATCACATATTCGTTATTAATTTTGCATAATCATATGATATGATTTATTGTAATTGTATTCTTATTCTTTACTGTTGTAGAGGGCAAGTTAAATTCGGAAATATTTGTTATTTTTTAGAAAAATTATATGGAATGAGATTTAATTGCATCCTATATTCTATTGTATAGCTTGTAAGTTAATCTAGAAATTTTTCGTTAATTGTTTCGTATAATTATACGTAATATGATTTGATTATATTAATTGTCAAATGTCTTAGCTAGTAAGTCATATCCAAGATATTTGGTTATTTGTTTCGTAAATTCTATAAAATAAGGTTTAATTGTATTGACTATCAAATTTCATACTCTAGAGTGTAAGTTAGATTCAGGACATTCTTATTATTTGTTTTGTAAACCACGCGAAACGAGATTTCATTATATCAATTATCCAATTTTATAGATGGTAAGTTAAATCCAAAACATTTTTGTTGTTTGTTTTGTAAAGTCATATTAAATGAAGTTTTAATTATATTCTTACTCTCTAACGTTGTAGATCGTAAGTTATTCCAGGAAATTTTTGTTACTTGTTCTGTAAAAAAATATAAATGGACTTAATTATGTTATTATTTTCTACTGTATAGAATGTAAGTTAAATTCATGACATTTTCGTTATTTGCTTCGTGAAAGTAACCAAATGAGATTTAATTTTACCCTTACTGTGGCAGATGGTATGTTGAACCTAGGATATTCTCGTAATTTGTTTTATAATATCCCATGGAACAAGATTTAATTGTATTTTTATTATTTACTATTTTAGATGGTAAGTTGAATCCACAAATTTTAGTTAGTTGTAATTTATAAAACCCAAGTTATTATTATAGGAACGGAGTGTAATCAGTGCTATAAGATGACAGAAAACCCTTATTGGTGTCTTCCTTGTAATTCTTTTCGTTTTCAACAAAAATTTGATACTTGGAAAAGTGGAAACAATAATGTCGACGCATCTATAAAGGAAATACAGTTAACAGCAACTAGTGGATATAACATTATGGAATGGATTCCGTATTCAAAGTTTAAGAATGTGAGACTTGTTTACAAAGGTGGTTTTAGCGAAATATACTTAGCAGAATGGATTGACGGATATATTCTTTATTGGGATACAAAAGAGAGGCAGTGGGAAAGAAATGGAACAACAAAAGTTGCACTAAAATGCCTTAATTATTCAGGAAATATAACCAACGAATTTTTAAATATGGTAATTATTAATATATAATTTTCTTAATAGGGAATATTTGTTTTTAACTGCTATTTGCATATAGATAAAGAATCCCTGTCACGGTAATGGCGATGGATCTCATATCATACGGTGTTATGGAATTACTCGACATAAAGGAACAAATAATTTTATGATTGTTATGGAATTTATGGAATATGGAAGTGTTAGAGATAATCTATATGAAGTTTACGAAAATTCATGGCAGGACAAACTTAATATTCTATATCATGTCGCAGAGGGTATAATGCAACTACATATGGCTGGATTGGTCCATCGAAATTTTCATACAGGAAATATTCTATTATCGCGTAAAGATTTTCCTTATATAACAGATTTAGGCTTGTCTAAAAAAACTGATGAATCTAATACTGAAGATAAAGAGCGAAAAATATATGGCGTGCTACCATATGTAGCACCTGAAGTATTATGCGGAAATGAATATTTGGAGGCAGCAGATATTTATGCATTTGGAGTTATTATGTATGAAGTTTTATCTGGTATTCCTCCTTTCAACGAAGTGCCGCATGATAAAGATTTGGCAATTGGAATTTGTAATGGGCTCAGACCCAAAATCCAAAGCAACCTGCCCGAATTAGTAATTAATCTGATGCAAAAATGTTGGGATGCTAAACAACAGAACCGATTACAAGCACATGAATTGTGCGAGATTTTAGATGCATGGCGTCATTATATTGAATATCCAGATTCAACGTTTGCTAAGCAAATCGAACAAAGTGCGGATATGATATCAAGTTCAGTTACCAATGCGACAAAAATACATCCATCCGCAATATATACTAGTCGACTTCTCAACTTTAAAGATCTTCCGGAACCAAAAAATTCAACGGAATTTATTCAAGGTAAGCAACAAAAAAAAATAATGATAACGACTATTAACTTAATTGCAGAACAAAGATTACTGAATTTGGTGTTAAAAATTATTCTTATTTTGAAGCTCAAGATGTTTTTGACAAACCCTAAGAATTGCCTACGATGCTAATATCAATACGCAACAAAAAAGAAAGCATACAAGATTTAGGGGTTTATTACGAAATAGGACGAAACTACAATTTGATGTTGATTTATTGGAATTACGGTATTACATTTACAAGGAAATTTCTAAGATTCCTCCCCCCAGTACAATTAGAATAACAATCGCCTTTGTAAAGCATTCTCTCATTATTTATATGTCGATGTAATACCTGTTGAACTCTCAGAATAACTATTAGAAAGGTTTTTTAAATATTTAACCAATCACAAGAAGACATTGTTACTAGCTATACAGTATACTCTATCCAAAGTTTACATTCAGCATTTACCGCAGAAATTCGCGTACCGTACGGTATTAAAAAAACAGTTTTTTTGACATTTTTTATTTTTTTGTACATTTTTTCCATACGTTCCCCGAAGCTTTTATTGTGACAATTAAAATAGCTACATTATTATAAGCATATGCTAATCAATATGCTAATGTTTTAAAAGTGAATATTAGGATATAATAGTTTTTAAATGCAATTTTTAAAAACAACCAGAGCAATACTAACTTTACAATATTATTGAACACTCGAATAACGCGATAGAGTTACTATTAAATTTTTGAAATCTAATAGCTTTATTTTATCATTATGAGAATACGATGATGCTAAGCTCATATTTATACATGCGTTTATTGTTTTCATTCTTTCTTGTTTAACTAATTATCTACACTATTATGAACCTTTTCCAATTACATCCTTTCCATTTAATTGTGTTCATCGGCGCATTAAACGTTTAACGCGATATTGCATTGCGCATTTGCGAACCACTTTATCCCCAATATTGATTTGTGTAAATTATCTAGTGTAAGGGTAAAATAAGATAGTGCTGCACCTATATCAGGCATCAAGAGATGCGGCTCCAGACGATAGAAATAATGTCAACTTTTGATAAAAGAAACATTGTACAAACTTTTTATAATTAGTATTTTTATCAGTGATCATAGGGTATCAAGTTTGATAAATTAACAATTATTATTTTAGTTATGGTCATCGATTTTTCTGGGCCTTGGTTTATTTAATAAAAGCAAATTTAAAACACATGGTGTTTTTGAATAAACATTAAAAAATCCTAAATTCAAAAAAAAAATTTTTATTGATTTTTTTAATAATCAATAAGTATTCAAAGTTGACGCATTAACCGCTGAAATTAATTTAGTTAAGGTATAAAACATAGCTAAATATTATAATAATCAAGTGTCCTTATCGAAAGTTGATTGTATACTATTGCCAGTAGGTATAAACATAATATGATTCTAGTCACATAATAAATAGTAACAAGAGTATCACAAAAGATATATTTTGACCAATAATACTCCAAATGTTGTAATAAAAAAATATCAGCAAAGAAAAAATTGTAATGATAAACTTTTAATAAAAAAGTATATTAAAAAAAATTGTAATAAGTAATTAATAATTGTAATAATTGTAATAAAATATTATATAATAAAAAGAATTATATAAAAACTTAGTAATGAATTTTATTATGTTTTATTTGACTTGGAAATACGTAAGATCTTACTTTGTTTTTTATTATAATTTTAAAAGTACAGGTTATAAAATTTATCAGAAAAATAAAATTTGTAAACAATAATTTATTTGTGAAATTAAGAGAAACAAGATTTATTATAATTAAAAATTGGCTGCATGTAGAGTTCCGCATGGACTTAAACTATCTATGGATATCTATAAATTAGTCCTATATGGATTGGACTTGGATAATTATGTAAGCCATTGGGTTGGATCTGGACTTAAAATTTTGGATATTCACATAACTAAATTAGACTTGGATTATTTAAGCCCAGATCCAAAAATCCATGGATATTCATGTCATAAAATTTATAGATACGTATTAATATTAATATTATTTCCATAATTATTTATATAATTACTAATTACGAAATTACATATATTTGTTATTAAAAGTTTATTTACAATAAAAATTTAATATATATAAATATTAAAAATAAATGTTGTAATCAAAATTTTTTTGAAACCGAAAGGTTAGTAAATATAAATAATTTATATAATATTAAATAATAATTTATTTTTTATTTTAAAAAAATATATATATTGAACTTATGAAAATTGAATGAAATAATTCATTATGTCAAGTGATTCTATATCAAATTCAGAAGTTTCAACTTATACAATTACTAGTAAAGATTCTCAAATCAATAATAAAAGATTATTATCAACAGTTTGAAAGCATTTTACTTTACTAGTTTCATTTGAACCTAATAAAGATAAGGCACAATACAATCATTGCAAAAAAGAATTTTCTCAGAAAAAGACATCTGATACTTCACATTTACACTGACATTTAAAATCTTGTGCCAAATATAAAATAACTATTGGATCATCAACTTCTACAAATATTCAAGATAATATTGAAGATCAAAATACAACTTACTTTAAATTAAGTCAAAAGTTGGAGTTATTCAAAAGAAAAAAGTAGAAAGATTTAGTAGATATGATTATTAAAAATGAATTAAGCTTTCAATTTGTGAAACATACTGGATTTTTGATCTTTATTTTAGGATTATGACCAGATTTTAAAGTTTGCAGTGCAGATACAATTAAGCAGAATATTATGAAATTATATGAAAATCAAAAAAATTTTATCAAAAATATTCTTTAAAATTTTTCAAGCTGAATATTATTAACAACAGATATTTGGACATCACAACAGCAACTTGGTTATAGCTCTATTACAATTCATTATATAAATGACAATTGGGAACTTTATAGCTTTCTTATATCATTTAAATTAATATGTTTTCCACATATAGAAATAAATAATGCCAATTTAATAAAATCTAGTACAAATGATTTTTTAATTACAACTAAGGTATTTAAAACTTTATTGTTAATGTATTTATTTAAAATTGATATAAAATTTCTAATAATATATTTTTAAAGTTGCAAATTATAAAACTATATAATGCTTCATTTAATGATGTAGCTATTCGTAAATTTGCTGATCAGCTTATCTATCTTTCTTTTAATTAATAGCAATATTGAACTTTTTCAAAATCACTGTTTGGCACATATTATAAACTTAATTATTAAAGATTAATTGAAAAAATTAAATATATTATTAAAAAGGTAAGTTAATTATAATTATATTATTTATATTTATTAAAATTAATATAATAATAATTTAGATTTGGGATTGTATTAAAGCACTTCATACTTCACTGAAATGTCGACAAGCTTTTATTGATACTTATAATTATGAGGATGTTAATATAATTATACATTCACTTGATTGTGATTCATATTGAAATTCTATATATTTAATAATGAATTCTGTTATTAAAGTTAAAAAGACATTAATTAAGTTTAAAGGTAGGAATCAATTTTTTCCTGATATACCATATGAATATAAATGGAAACAAATAAATATAATTTTTAAAAAACTTAAACTTTTTTATAATTGTAGGTATAATTTTATGTTTTATTATATTATATTTTTTTTATTTATATTAAATATTTATTTTAAAGTATTGAACAAATATCCAGAAGTTCATATATAACTCTTAATAATGCTATTATAATAATTTTTAAGATCGAATTACATTTACAAAAAATACAATCTAGTTCCAATATATTTATTTACAAATTTTCTTGTTCTATGGAAAAAAAATTCAATAAATATTGAAAAGATATCAATTTTTTGTATATAATTGCATGTATATTTAATCTTTGTTATAAGCTACAATAGTTTTGATATTATTATAATCAAAAAGAGAAATTCTTACAATAAGAAATTGAAAAAATAATATCAAATTTACAAACAAGGTATTTATATTATTTTTATTTAAAATTTATATATACAATTATTTATTTATATAAATATTAAATTTAAATTATTAATTTATATTTGAAGAAATTTATATCAAAAAAAAAAACTTTTTCCCAAAAACTTTGTATCGCTTAAAAATTTCCTTTTTTAGTAACTGACAAAATTCTAAAAAGAAGCAAAACAACAGGCACTCCTGGGAGCTCCTCTCCCAAGGGCAAACCTCCAAACTCTTCTCATATCCTTTTGGATATAGTGA